CCGCTCATGACCACGCCCGAGTCGTCTTCCCTGGTTATCCATGGGTTAGCATGAAGGCCAAAAACCCCAAGATTTCCCTCGAAACCCTCTGTCATATGCAACTATACATAAAAAACATGCAAAAACAAAAAAAATATACCCAAATTTACTTCTTATTTGCCAGACGGGAGTACCCAGTTGGTAGGCAACCCCCCGACAATGTTATGAGGAAAATGCGATCAGAAAGCAGATTGGGATTGTAAAAGGGACAGTAATAGGAGGGACAGTGGATACACCGAAAAAATAGATCAGGGACACAAATAAAAAAGAAGGTGCTTTTGCACCTCGAAACAGATGGCGAACTGTATGGGGCGGTGTAAGGATTACACACACATACTCAGAGGATGGAGAATAGCAAAGTTGACCCTTCATCTACTACAACTTGCTAACCATCACGGGGACATGTTACAACTAAAGAGATGGTCTGCTCTCAGTCGGTTTAGACAAGAGAAAAGTGGAAAATAGGAGTTTTCTGATGGGAAGGGGGATACTAGCAACTTTTTGGGAATAAAAGGAGGTTAGAAAATATGATGCAAAGTCCACAGCCCGCTGAACCGTTGGAAAGGAATGACTTGGACTGAGACGATATATATAAGGAATGTTGGACCTGGTTTCCAACAGGTGTAGCTCCCCACCAATAGATGGAGCAGCCCAACGGGCGAGTCCTCAATTCTGACTGTTCTCTCACCTCCGTGAGGATAGTGGGATGGCAAAACATTAGGCTGTGGTCTTTTTCTTAAAAATATCAAAAAAATCAGAAAACAAAATTATTAATCCCGCAAAATAATTGTCGCGTCGATTCGGTGCATTTTCCATTTTTGTCACTCATCCATGTGTGCGCCAAATTCAATGATTTTTCCACGCTCAAAGGAATGTGTGAAAAAATCTCACAATTGGAGTACTTGCAGATTTGATTGTGGTATTTTCAGGAAAAAGATAAAAAAAGAAAAATAAAAATCATTTCAATCACGAAATAGATCACGGTGGCAACTTGAGTCATTTTCCATCTCTGTCTCTCTCTCCCTTTTTCTTTGGTAGTCCCCCTCCCCTCCCTTTCCCCCCCCCCTCCCCCCCCCCCCCCCCCCCCCTCTCTCTCTCTTATGTTCGCGCGCTTAGCCTCATCGTTTTCGCTCATTGGGCCAGGCTTTGAAAGGGAACCCTAAGGTTTGCAACCCTAAGGCTGCGGTATGGTGGGTTCAAACATCTGTGTTCGCAACACAAAGGCTGCACCGAAAGGGAACACATCACCCCCTCCCCCCACCCTTTCTCTCTCTCCCTCTCTAGACCTGAAAGGAAACAAAGAAACATAATCCCATAGGGTTGTGTTCCCTGCGCCCAGGCGGTAGGTAATTTATGTGATAACAATACTCGACTCTAGTTTAACCGCGCAATAAACTTGAGAGTTATTGAGTGTAGACGTTCATCTGTCTTCATCTTCAAGCTCACAGAGGACTTGATGGAATACCCTTGGAAAGTTACATGAACATATTTCACCCTATTACTTTGCAAGACAAGCAGAGCAATGACTACCCAACCCGACACATTCTATGAAAACCTCATGTTACCATGATGGCGATCACGGTGAAGATGATAGTCGGGTAACGCCGATCAGTGCGTTGTGGAGGCATCATGGGGTAGGTTGGGAGTCGCAGCGCCTAACAGCAAACTGAGAGGCGAGTGCTACCGCAGCGCCATCGACCAGGTCCCCTTCTCTATTCTCCCTCCTCGTGTTGTTCCAAATTTAACGTATGCCCAAAAGGCTGTGCTCTGTGATGCCCAACCTCACGCCCGACGCGACTTCCCGATCGAAGTAGGATGGGGGCCCGGAAGTGCGAAAAGGGGGTGTGCCAATGATTTTCGGAAAGTGGATGTGGAGTCCCAGGTCGGAACTTAGATCTTCGGTGGCAAGTTTAGGGACAACGGTGCAAGATGGTACGCGAAGATCGTATCTGGTGTTTCAGCCTTCGGGGATGGGGCTATGGTCTCTGCCAGTTGCGTCGCCACGGCCGGTCCCTTATCCGGTGGACCGGTGGGACACCATGGCTGTCGCGTTGGGCGAATGGTCGTCGGCGCCGCTCGTAACAAGCTTCGAAATCTGACGAGGCTGGCTGCAAACGGAGGCTGTGTAATTGCTGCTCGGCTTCGGTTCGGGTTCGTTGGATAAATCCCGAAGCCTGGTACGCCTGGTACCGCTGACACTCTTCGCACGGTGGGCAGGGCTAGTAGCGAGCTATGGAATTCCACGGTACCACTGTGAGCTGGTGATAGGGAAGGAGGAGATGGAAGGGAGGGAAACTGGTATTAATAACGACGAAGCCCGGAAATATGTAATATTGTGTGTTGTCAGTGTTTGGATAGTCTGGGGCCCTAGGATCGCTGGTTATGGCCCAGTGGAAATCCCCCGCGCACAGTCGGTCGTTCTCCGTCAGACAAGGGAATTTCGGGTTTCTCAAGCGTTTCCGTCATCTGAGATGTTCTCCTTCCCAGTCCTCGCGATACTCCAGATCCCTCACGCTTTCACGATCAGTGATCCAAAAGAGAATTTCTACAACCATATCCGGCTAGGGCATTCGGTTTCCCGCATCCTTATGATGAGTTCGAGGTCGACTCATGCAGACGCGCGTACGCTGCGACTCAATTTTCTCGAGATAGCGGTCGTACGTGAGCGTGCACATGAACGAAAGTGGATCGGTCCTTGGTTCAGTGTACCGATTGCGTTCGTCCCTCATGCAACTATCCTACTCATGCTATATTGGGTGAGATCAAGACATTACATTCATACCCATGCCATTCATGTGACGAGGAGGAGAGAAAAGAGGAAAGGACAATCAACTCCTCATGACATTCTTGACAATCGAAGACTAACGATTAAACCCAAACATCCATAGCGAGTGCTTCCAATCAAATCTGAGAGTATGGCTCATGCAGATGGATAATAGAAGGTGACGAAACAAACATCGCAAAACAAGGTTGGAAATCCAAAAAGATCACTAACGAGAAAAAATTCACATTCATTCCATACATTCACGAGACAGAAACGACAAAGAAAATCCGAGATGATTTAAAAAGAGAAGTCCGAAAAGGCTGCAACAAAATCGGTCATAGGAGGAGCCAAAATTATACAGATAAACGAAAAGAAGGAACCTCATCCCACACCCACAACTGCTCTCTCTCTCTTTCTACACCCCCAATACAGGCAGTCCGTCGCCGCGTATCAACACATAGTTGTCACCCCGCCTGGTTCGAGCATGCAAGTCAGGTTCGTCAGTGCACCACAGTCCGTTGCGGCCCGCACGTCAACCCCGCATACATGACACCGCTTGTCGGATCGCCCAACTCCCTCGTCGACTCACCTCTCGGGCTGATTAGTTAGCGAGATCAACTGACCCTCACTGATCGCGCTAACTCCTGACTCGTTAACCGACCCTCACTGATTGTGCTAACTCCAAGACCCATAGAGAGCAAACTAATCGCACTTGCAAAATTTATAGCATGCATGCTTGTGCAAAAGGTACGAGATTAAACCCAATTGGTCAGGAGGAGAACAGAGGAAGTGCCTACGTCTGCATGGCTAGGCTGCGGTGCGGGGGTCGTAGCCACACTCCACGCATCAATCCGATCATGCAGGTGCTCAGGCCAATTAGAACAGAGTATGCAAGGCGAGGAAGAAGGAGAAGGCGGGCAAACACGAGGAAACCAAGAAAGAAGAAAGGTACAGTTACAATCACGCCCGCCAAAAATGACAGTTACACAAGATGAAGGGCGCGATCCAGACAGAGCCCAGTTCCTAGTGCCACAAGATGTGCGCGAGTGAGAAGCGTGGCGCAACAAAATTCAGGGTACCTAAATTCCTAGCCTAAGTCGTAATTGCAAAAAGGAAATTCCGAAGAGCCCAAAAACAATTTCGCAAGTCCGTGGGGGCTTGACATCAGTTGAAAATTCAAAAACGATATTCCCACGCGATGATCGCGCCAAAAATTCCTAGTGCTCACATCGGAACAAGAAAGAAGCCATGGCAACCGTTGTCCATCACGCTCGCTAAGGCGCGGTTACCCAATCGCCGGCGCGGGACTTTCCCGACACCGACCCGACAGATTTCCACAGAAAACAAAAAAGAAACGAGGGCATCCACGCAATCAGCCTGACCAACCCATCTTCCCGCAACTCACCCATCCGACCCGTCTCATTTCCCGAAGGCAGCTTCGCGCAGAAAGTCGCGCGATTACAGAAAATGGTTCGTCACATATATCAACCCAGGTATACCTGGTGTTCATGCACATTCTCCCCACAAAACAATTCCACATTTTTGGAACGTGCAGGGGCCTACCTAGCTTCATTCTCACTCATCTATTTCCGTCTTACCCTTGGCCTCTTTACCAAATCTGCCATTCCTGTCGTGGATTGAGGTTCCACTTACCCAAATCCTTGGTCTCTTGCCGTCAATCTCTATGATCTACGATCAGAAACCAAGGACCTGGGGTATGGAACTCGGAACTCGGTCTAGCGAAGAAAATGAGGCACTTGGACGCCTGCGAAGCTGTGTACAGATCAGGTTTCTGGGCGCCCCTATGTCCAGGTGCAGGTGCATTCTGGCAGTCATTAGCGGATGTACACAGGTTTCTGGGCGCCTCTAAGTCCAGGTGCAGGTGCATTCTGGCAGTCATTAGCGCAAGGCAGATCACAGAGGCATTTCGTGAAGACTCCCTCCAGAATACAACGGCAACGCCTGTGTCTGTCTGATAGGTACCTGTCAGGAACAGGGCACCCGTCGGGGCCACAGAGGAACCAAAGAGAAAGGAAACAACTTCGGACTGGAGGCGCGGTCCTTACACAGAAAAGGGGCAAGGTGACATCGAGGCACAGACGAGTGCCTGCGGTGGGCAGCAGGGGAAAAGAACGAGGTTGCAGAGGGCGAGTTGTGGGTAATACGAACATAGGCGCTTGCGGGTTGCACGTGGATCGCAGGCAAACCTTGCGACGACGGCAATAGGTGGGAGAAGGAGATGGGAAGAGGAGACTGGAAAAGTAAAGGGGGAGGGAGGCAGTGGTGATTGTGGTGCACTAGCGATGGGGAAAGGGTCAGGCGGCGAGGCCCGGCGTGGAAGGCGGGAAGAGTGACAGCAGTGTGCGTGGAGCAGAGGAGGGTGGTGATGGGGCAGGTACGCACAAGCATCGCAAGAGGTATTTCTCTCGGAGTGCGGAAGTGGATCGGGGGCGAACAAGGCGGTGACGGCAGAAGGCGGGCGCGAACGCCTGTGGTGGAGGGGAAATTAGTGAAGCGGCAGGAGGAGTTGTTTGTAATACAGTAGTCGGATAGAGAGGGACGAGAGAGGAGGTTCGGGGCGTGTGTTATCGATTGTCCTGTGGGATCGAAGGCAAACAGTTCAGTGACGGTGGGAGCTGGAGGAAGGGAGGAGAGCGACGGGGGAGGAAGAGGAGATTGTTGGTCGCTAGTGGAGAGGAAGGGACGAGCAAGGAGGTACGGGGGTTGTAGACGGTAAAAGCGGCAGGGATGTAAGGGGAGTAGTTTGTTGATGTAGCGGGCAATCACTAGGACGGGAGAAGGCGGCGTATGTCGTTGGACACGTTTCCATGTGGATAGCGGGTGACTAATTGGTAACCGTGGGAGGAGAAGCGAATGCTTTGTGGCGGGTAGTGGAAGAGTAAAACTAGAGGCAGACGGCGGTTGTGACGTAGGGACAGAAACTGACGGAAAGTAGGTTTGGGAGTGTGGTTTTAAGTATGCTGGTAGATCGAAGGCAATCAACCTAGTGGCGGCAATAATTGGGCGCATAGCTGTGGGAAAGGAGGAGAAGAGTATAGGGTACCGAGTAGGTGATTATCGTACCGTGTGCGTGATTGCATCAGCCAGGGAAGGTTTGCACGTGACTAGGGTTTCGTCGAGGGCAGTAGGACGATAGAGGTGAGTGAGAAGACGGAAGAAATATCTTCCTCTGTTGCTACGTTTTGACTTCCGCGCCGAGTCTTACTTTAATCTTTAGGGGCGTTCCGGTTTACGGAGTGAGGACGTGAATCGGAGAGAAAGTGTAAGGTGGGCTGGGTTGTTTTGACTTGTCTATTTCTGTGTCGTTGTGGAGATGGCTAGTAGCGCGCCGCCTTCCGGGGGGGGCGGGTTCGATATACAGCGTTTTTTCGGAAGGCAGCAGATGGGCGGTGGTAAGCCGTCAATGTCTGCGCCGGCGAACTTCGCTACAATGCAGGGGGGAATGCAACCGCAGCAGTTGTCGTCGACTTCGGCGCCGCCGCAAACGATGGGGCGGCATGCACACGAATCGGCTCCAGCTGGACCATCCCAACCGCAGCCGGGCATGAATTCTCATTTCTTCTTGCATCATGATTACGCTCCTCCTCCACCTCCTCCAACACAGGCGCCAAGTGGAGGGTCTGCATCTTACAGTGGGCCTCAAGCGAATGCACCGCTGCCTCTTCCCCCAGGACCGTACAGCAGCAGCGCGCCCGCGGTACTCGGGCATATGCCACAGCAGCAGCAGCAGCAGCAGCAGCAGCAGCAAGGGCAGCAACAACTGTCGGGTCTGTCTCCCGAAGGGCAGCGACAGGGGCAACAGCAGCAACAGCAGAGTCAAGGTCAGCCGCAGGCAGTTCAGCAGTCTCAAGTGGGCGGTAGGGGCTCCAGTGGTTCCTCTGCTGCGGCGACGCTCGACGGGGCGTTGTTGATGCGAATACTCACGTCTCAGAGTTCAATCGATCGCTCGCATGGCGCCGGGCCGACGAGTATGATGAACGTGGCTACGCCATCGTCGCAATCGATGCCTCCAGCTGCGGCAGCTGCCCAGACCGGGTCGAAGGGGGGAGAGGGAACATCCACGTCATCATCATCCTGTCTTCAGCTGCAGCATCAGCAACAGCAGCAGCCGTCACTGTCGTTGTCGTTGGGCACAAGCGGAGCGGGAGGGGGGGAAGACGAAAGCCGTCGAGGTGATGTTGCGGGGCCACCGTCTTCGGGAACAGCCGGGATCTCGGCTGCGAGTCTGCAGCAGTCAGTCATGGCAGGCGAAGACGCTACAGCAACGGGACCCGGAGACGGAGGGGGACCGTCCGGGGTGGAGGGATCGATATGTGGAATGGGAAGCGGAGCGGTCGCGTCGGCGTCGCCGTCTGTTCTGAATTCCGCGCCGCTGCTCCCGACGAGTTTGTCAAGGGTGGGGAGAAAGGCTATGGGCAGGGTACTGACAGGAACGCACGTGCAGTTTGACATCGATCGTAGGCAACCGGGAGAGGCGCAGCCGCAGCTCGAGGTTTCCCCGATCACCGTTTACGGCTCGGAGTACGTGTTGGCGCTGGGAAGACATATTGCCGTGAACAAGAATTACATATGTTATGGGCTTCGGCAGGGGACTATCAGGATTTTGAACATAAACACGGCGCTGAGAGCACTTTTGCGGGGGCACACGCAGAGAGTGACAGATCTAGCATTTTTCGCGGAGGACGTGCACCTTCTTGCCAGTGCGGGGGCAGACGGCCGGGTATTTGTGCGGAGGATTGAAGAGGTAAGCGAAGAGGGGATGGGGCAGATAGTTGAGCAAGTGATCGCGGGTCTTCATTTCACAGGAGCGGTGGAGTTCCACAATTTGCGCGTGGCGTGGCATCGTCATCAGCAGGACGTTTTGATGGTCGCAGTAGGCTGCTATCTCTGCTACGTGGAAGCTGGTCGGGTGGCTATGGGGTCTTCGCCGGGGGGTGTTGTTGAGGTTGACGTAAGACAACCGCCTGATGGGGTCTTCGTGATGGGCGGTCACTCTGGAGACATCATGGATGTTGTGGTGTCGGTTTCCGGCGACTTAACGGCCACGTCCGCTAAGGATGGCCAGGTGCGGATCTGGGATGTGGATCGACGTGCGGTTGCTGTCTTGACCCCTCATGCGGGTCTTCCTGTCAGCGGGGTTGCGTTCCTTGCCCCGCAGGACAGACCTGCCAGCACCGCGCTCATAACGGGCGGCCCGTTGAACCGAGAAATCAAGCTCTGGGTCCCCGTGAGTTCGGATCCGTCAGACAATTACCGATGTGTTCAGACGCTGGAGCTGACGTCTTCTTCTTCAGAGGACGTCGAGAAGGCTTTCTTCAATCAAATCGCCGTTCTACCCAAAGTAGGACTTGTCCTTCTTGCGAACGCAAAGAGGAACGCCATCTACGCCGTCCGCGTAGACTACGGGGAATGGCCGATGGACGGCGAGATGCGCATGACCTACTTAGCAGAGTTCTGTGTGACCATGCCTATTCTGAGCTTCACCGCCTCCAGCGATGGATACGAGGGAGGCGAGGGGCAGGTGCAGATCTATTGTGTACAGACGCAAGCGATTCAACAATACGCTCTGGACTTATGCCAGTGCCAGCCGAACGAGTCCAGACCGGCGCCATTGGGTTTGGCCGTCACTGCTCCTCCCTTGGTTCCCGTGGTCCCGATACCGTCCATCGCAGTGCCGTCCCTTGTGGCGATGCTTCCGAACCAGAGGCAGTTCCAAGTCACGGACATGAAGTCTTCCGTGCAGATGAGTCAGCCTCTGGTTGCATCTGCTGGCAAACCCTCGCCCTCTGCGCCAGTCCCTTACGAGGCGACGGCTCTCGAGGGCTCAGCGGTTGGCGGAGCGCAGGAAGTGGTGGGGAGGGTGCCGATGCTGTCCGAGCTTGAGTCTGTGTTTGCTAGATCGAGCAAGGAAGACAGAAGTGGGGAGAAGGTAGGAGGAGGAGAAAGCCGGGAAGTTGTTGGCATGCGGGGTATGGATGGGGATGACGTCAACGAGGTGGTGGAGCAGATGGCAGGCCGGAGAGGCGATAGGGAGCTAGAAAGGCTGGAGGAGAAAGTGGGACGCGCTCGCTCAAGAAGTCCGCGACGCTCGAGAAGTCCTGTCAGCCGGAGGATCACGGTGAAAGATGTGATTGACAATCTTGGTGTTGGCGGCGGCGGCGACGAGGATGCCAGGTCGTTTGGGGCTTTTGTCACCGGCCCGAGCCCTCCGCCCGTGATGGAGCCCGGATTTGAACCGACGGCGCCCCCGGCTCATCTGTTAACGCCCTCGGAGCTGATGAACATGGTCGCGCGCTCGGTTCAACACAGCGAGGCTTCACGGAAGCCTGCAAACAGAATGCAAGATGGCGATCTTGCGGAGGGGGGGGGGGCATCCGGTCTTGCAGGCTCGGCGAGGGGGGGCCTGAAAGTTACTCCGGGCGGCAAAGCGGAGGTCCTTCCTTCGACGGGGAAGGAAGAAACGGAGGACGTGCTGAAGAATGCCAAAGGCGGTCCCGGGAGTGCTGGAGCGGGAGGGGGAGGAGGAGGAGGAGGAGGAGGAGGTGCGTCTCTAGGTCAGACCGAAATCATTGGGCAGCGAGGAGCGAAGGAGAGAGAGGTGGCAGTTGATGCTGATAGAGTATTGCGGCCTGATTGGAAGAGTGGGCGAAAGGTAGCCATAAAGGGGGGTATGGAGGAGGCGAGTTCCGTGTCGAAAGATGCGAAGGAACGTGAGAGCGGGAGCAAACGAACTCTGGAGAATGGGGAATCGCTGGAGGTGACCGGAGGAGGACAAATGGCTGCTGCGGCCGATGGCAACAACCAAGCTAGTGCTGCGGTAATGCGGGAAAGCACCAGCGTGGAGAAACAACGGGATGTGACCGCTGGCGATGGCCGCGAGGCAGGAGTTGAGCAAGGGTACGTGTCTATCAGAGAGGTGGACGCTGCCTTGTCAGCTTCGGCTTGTGCGCCGCCGGATCTGGATCTGGGGTCCTTTGCTTCGCGAGATGACGTCGATGCTCCTAAGAGGTGGCACGGCAAGAAGGCTGTTTCGTCGATGAGTTCAGGAGGCGGCGGTGGTGGTGGCAAACACCAAGCGAGTGCAGCGGCACTTTCTCAGCCTCACTCTGCCTCGCCGTTTTTGTCTTCCGACTCGTCGTCGGAATCGTCCGCTCAGGCGGCGGAGATGGCGAAGGCTTTGGCGGCGGGAACCTCCGCTTCCAGCGGCGGGCTTTCGGGTGCGGCGGCGGCTGCGTCCGTGCAGTGCGCGATGCCAGGGCGGATGGCTTCGCCGCCGCCTTCGCAGGCGACTGCAGCGTTCTCGTGCGGGGCTGGAATACCGTTGCCGTCGTCTTCCATGGAGCACTCTTCTGGCGCGTCCTCGTTGATGGGGACTCGTCACGCGGTACAGGACTCCTCCTTGCCTGCCCACAGCTTGCGCGGCTCATCGGAAGAGGTTGCTCTCACCAAAGCGCTCCCGACGATGGTTGCCGTCAGCATGGCAGGCGATGCGCTTCTCGCCCAGATGAAGCAGATGCAAGAGTCCATGCAGGCTCTCGTCGACGCGCAGAAGGAGATTGCGAGGCAGCTGCCTCAGCAAGTGGCAACGGCTGTGTCCAAGGAGGGGAAGAGGATCGAAGTGGCCCTCGGGCAGAGGATGGAGAAGGTGATCAAGGCGAACGCGGACGCACAGTACGCACGCATTCAGGAGGAGACGGTGAAGCGAGAGAAAATGGAAACCGAGAAGGTGCAAAAGATAACCGCTGCTCTGACACAAGCAATAAGTCGAGACATTCCCATTGGTTTGGAGAAGTCTCTGAAGAAGGAGTTCGCTGCCTTGGGCCCTGCTGTAGCGAAACAGTTGCTGCCTCCGCTTTCAGATGTTTTCCAGAAGTTTGTGATGGATAAGGTGGCTCCTCAGATGGACAAGGCGTTGTCAGTGAAGCTAGAGTCGGTCCTCGTCAAGCAGATGCAGACTCTGCAGCTGCAGACGCAAGGGCAGATGCAGACGATTGTTAAGCAGGCTTTGCAGGATTCCATGCGCTCACACTTCCAGCAAACGGTGATCCCTTCGTTTGAAACAGCGTGCAAAACGATGTTTGAGCAAATGGACCAGGCCTTCCGCACTGGCATGCAGGAACACACCTCTCATGCTCAGCAGCAGCTTGCGTCGTCGCACACGGCTCTGGCGTCGACTCTTCAGGAGACTGTCGCAAATGCGAGTGCTCTGACGACCACCTTGAGAACCGACATTGCGGATTCCCATCGGAAGTTGCTGACGATGCTGGAGACGGCAAGTTCTAGGGTGATGGGCATGCCGAAGCAGAGCAATGGAGGCCTGCCCGACAAGGTTTTGTCTCTGCAGCTCGTCGAGGAGTCGTTGGATCCGACGATAGAGTTATCTCGGCTAGTGGCGGAACGCAAGTACGAGGACGCCTTCAACAAGGCGCTCAGTCAGAGTAACGTTGCGGTGGTTTCTTGGCTTTGCTCCCAGATTGACGCGTCGGCGCTCTTCGGAATCCAACCCTTACCTTTGAGCCAAGGCGTGTTGTTGGCTCTTGTGCAACAGCTTGGCTGCGACTTGAAGAATGACACGGCAAGGAAATTGGTATGGATTCAGCAGGCGGCGCTTGCACTCAATCCGCAGGATCCTCTGCTTGCTCGTCACATGAGAGGAATCTTAGAACAGCTTTATCAGCACCTCCATCAACAGGTGCCGTTGTTGAATAACAATGCAGATATGGCAGGCAAGCTGCGGCTGGTGATCCATCTCGTGAACTCGCTACTCGTGTCCTGTAAGTAAAACGTTCGTTGATTGATTGTGACGGTGGTCTACTGATTGGGGGGTGGGGGGTGGGGGGGAGGAATTTCAACGCCATGGAGTGCGTCGAACTTTGACTCCTTGTCTCTTGTAAGTACGTCGATAGGGCGGGTGGTTGGTGGGTGGGTGGGTGGGGAGTTGGGGGATTGAGGAATGTGATTGACGTGAACTCCCCCCTCTTCGTCTCTCATGTAAGTAAGTTAGTTTGGTGGTGGTTTTCTGAACGAGGGATTATTGCTTGCGACACGGAGGTTGTTGCCGACCTACTGCTCTATTATAGCTGCAGAGGGATTTCATTCACCAACAGCGGGACTGGACGGTATCTCGTCTAACAGCAGACTAGCGCTGCTGCCACTTTGCGTTTTCGGTTTCTCTAGTAGTTAAGAATCCAACCTCCCCCCCTCCCTCCC